CTATATGATGCCCTGACACATTACCTAATTCGTGCATCATTTTTGATGCTGTGCTTATTCTGGGAAATTCACTGACTTCATAATTTACAAGTAATAAGGCAATATGAATAATGGACTGAATATGCCGCAACCCTATGTTTCTACTTAGCAATTCATAGTACACTTTTCGAATGTAACATCATAATGCTTGCCTATTTATCTTGGAATAGTTATTTTCATCTTAATTCATTTCAGAATGTAAAAGATCAATTTTAGTGTAAAGGTCATTTATCAAATTTTCAATATCTTAACCTGTGATTTTTTAATTGCATGACTGGGGCTTAATTATTTGGCTTATTTTGGATAACTTTATATTTCTCCATTTATTTCGCTAATGCTAAATATACAATGATATTTTCCTGACTATTATACTTAGTATCTGCAAGTGTAATTTCATTCCAAGTCGAAATTTCGAATCACCACAAAAACACCTATCTAGAGCATTCAAACCGTAAAGAAGTTCAAATTCTATCTATCGAAAATAAAACATCCTATCTACTTGCGCTTGCTACACTGTCATTTTCTTATTTAGACCATAGCCAAAATATAAAATTAAGAAATAATTCATGCAAGCCAGATATTTTCACATGGCTTGGACCGTTATACTCGAATTTTATATCGAGCGTTAGCGAGGGATAAAATTAACGTATATAACGGCCAAGTCCATATGAAAATGATAACAAATCTATGACTTGCATGAATTATTTCGATTCTAATAAAACAAATGCGGTAATTTGAAAAACTGAAGCGAAGGTAAGATTGCCGTGTCTATGGTTCTTCTATTTTACCCCCTGTAAGATAAAAGCTACACATTTCAAATAAATCTAAGGCTTGCATAAATTTCTTCTCAAATAACCACTAGAGAAAATCCTTATAATTCTTCACCCTTACTTTTTTTTCGTTGGCTACTATTTACTGTCAAGTCCACAGTTGACATGTCGTAACTAAGAAGTGAGTCGCTATGTTGACTTGCTGAAATCCATAAATGTGCAAATGATGCAATAGAATAGAAAATACTACATCTACCTCAAAAACTCCATTTTAATGCGATATTATCTGAATTTAGAGCGTACATGTAACGGAGTAATCTTCAGCTTCAGTTTTTTCATTCGTATGGGGTCATGTTTTGACATGATCATTCATGAAATTTCGCGGAATTTTATTTCATTTTGATTTTAAACATGTTTTAAGATCTTATGCATTATTTCTTTTTGTTATGCATTAAAATAGGAATAACGGTTCTGTAGTTTCTTTTTCCATTTCAATTTGAACACAACAAAATCCACATAGTGTCGGGACATAGGTTACGATACATGTGGAATTACGTGGGATGTAAATAGTAGCGGACATTAATATGTACATCTCTAAGTCTGCACTAAATATAGATATATCGAGAACTTTATCATGCTGTTGTTTACAAAGCGAAAGAAGCAAGTCATATTAGAATTACTCTTTTAACATGTTTTTATTCCATTGATGTGGAATAATAATTATGTGAAAGATTAATACAGACTGAGTGTTCTAAAACTGTAAAAAAAAACCACAATATATCAACTAAACGCTTTGCAAAATTCTCGAGATGCTTAGACACAACTGACAACAAACATGTTGAGAACAATTCCATAGAAAAATGATTTGCATCAGAAAACAGTAGTGGCTTCAAGAAAGAAAACCAAACAAACATGCAAAACAGAATGATTTTCCCTAAATTTATTTTTTTGACATTTATCTTTTTATTTTCTGGATATTGTTACCTTTAACTTAATAACAAATAAAAAAAGAGGACGCATATGTATGAGCCATTAGTTGCCACTGAAACGGCAAAATTAGTAAAATGTTTAAATTTAAATTAAGTGCAAGAAATTTGAAGGCCTGAAACAAATGATTAAGACAAAATTAAAACATAAAATACGTATGTAGGACTCTAAAGTGCGATGGTATTCTAAAGTGCGATGGTCACGCTAAAGTGGGATGGTCTACGCTAAAGTACGATGGTGTCTCACGCTAAAGTGCGATGGTTGTTTGTTTGCTAAAGTACGATGGTTTATCAAGCTAAAGTGCAATGGACAAATAGGGTATGGTTCGAGGGCTGAAAACGTTAAAGTACATGGATGTTAAAAAGTAGTCTTTTTTTAAAATCTCGTATGCTAAGGTACAACATATGTGGTAGGCTTTATAATTTACCGGATGGAATAAGTGATTGTTTCAAAATTTAGAAGACCAACCACGTAATAATTGCTAAAAAGGTAATTTAGGTGTCACAAAATACTATATTTCCTGTAAATGATTTTATAACAATTCGGGCGTATTAAATATTTGAATAATTGGTGTAGCTTGCCGTTCACACAGTCTATCAATAATCTGAACACCTCCCCTTACAGTCGTAATTGTAAATTACAAATACAAATTCGTTCATAGTCGGAAAAGTAACATTTATTTGTACAAGCTTTAATTAAAATGCGAGAGAAAGGCAATGTTCGCCGAGCTTTCTCCTTCTTCGTAGCGAGTACAAATGCATGTTATATTTTCTTACAATGTACGAACTATGTTTCAGCCGACAATTTATAATTTACGCTTGAAAACATGTACCTTTATTTTACCGACGTTATTTTTGTTGTTGATAAAATCGACAATATTTTAATGGGGACCGCAAAGTAAACTGCAACTTAAACAATGATTTAAATGCATCCGTTCACTTCCAATAGAAACTGGATACAGGATACTTATGCGTATAAAATTTTGTATCTATATAGTAAAATGGTCGACTGTAGGACACAAGTCCTTCTTCCAGCACCCGAAAAAAAAAAATACATTTGCTTCAGCCGAAAAAGCACGGTTATGTTTTAAATTAAGTCATGGACATTTGGTTTAGAAGTTGTTAATCAAATATTCTTAATTTATCTTCCGGCATGTTCAGTTTTGGTTTGTATAAACGACTGTTAACGTCATAATCCAACTACGTTTCTTACGTCTATACTTTCGCGGACCATCGGACTTTAACGTATGGAGGCATCGCACTTTAGTGTATACCATCGCATTTTAGCGTGGCCATCGTACTTTAGCGTCCCAATCGCACTTTAGAGTCCTACACGTATATATATATGATAGACTAATGTTTTGTAAACATCTGAAGCACGTTGCTTGATAGATTAGCAATACTTTCTGATTTTCAAATTCAAGAGGCCAAAAAGAGTCCCCATCATACCTTCGTTACAATTGCGGAGGTAGGTTTCCGCTTGTAGGAATCTTATAAAATGGGTATTTCAGACCGAGCTTTTTACGGTCATGTGATAAAAAAATCTAAGAAATTTAGATACATCCCTTACAATCTTTATTGTGGGCTAAATAAACATATTGATAAAGGGTAGTAAAACGGCTGTTGTTTAATCATCGCGTTTGGTATTCTTTTGGATAAACATCCAATTGAAAATGAAACGAGACTAAATCGTTCCGTTTCTGCATTGAAAAACTATACAGGTGTGTTATTGGTATTGCACAATGTCGTGTCTTCCTTTTATTCAAGGCGAAGCTGTACGAAATCTGCGGTGAAGTACAGCTATCGATATCATAATGCAGGATGTTTTGATTCCATATCGTCATGTTGAGTAATTTCACTTTGCATTCTTTGATACTATATTGTTTATCACAGTTTGTTTGTTCCTATTTTTTTTGTTATTTAAAATGCCGTAATGATAGAGTAAAATGATTTTTCTGTACTGTTAATAGCATGTTGTTTTATATAGATATAAGAATATGTGGTATGAGTGCCAATGAGACAACTCTCCATCCAAGTCACAATTTGTAAAAGTAAACAATTATAGGTCAAAGTAAATGTTCCTTTTGATAGTTCTTAGTCGAGACCAATTGAGGGAGCAATCTATATAAACTAATTTAATCCAAGAACATTTTTAGTAATGACCTCGTCAGTATTTGTTTTATGTAATATCTTATTGTTTGTCGGATTTTCCTGCTGATGGCAGATATTTGATATTCTGTCTTTACTTTATTCACATATTTTTAGATCTGGGCGAATATTATAGGTTGAACTTTGTAAATACAGCTGTGTCACAAACCACGCCTCTTTTGGGGAGATATATAATATTCATAGATGTTTTGTTTTGTTTACGTACTGGTTCCCAGATATGATCTATATGCTTCATCTAACAGAGACATAACTTGGGAATGTTACCAGTATGAATACACATGGATAGCAGCCAAATTGAATTCTGAAGAAGACCGAAAGTGACGGGTAGGGAAGTACAGAATTTTATTATAAGTTTAAACTCTTAGAAGTTCGAGGCATATAGATGTTGAAAATATGCCGCATAGCCCTATGTTTTGACCTTTGAAAAAAAAGTAGTGCATATGAACTTTCCATTCTAGGATATGATTTTTTTACGAAACTTCATAGTAAAATTGGCACAGTCTTAACCGTAAAATGAGAAAAGGAGTTCCTATGGGAAATTGCATTGTCTATATTCACAGAAGTGCAACTTATATATACCCCTTTTGTAGACTGTATGTTGACCTTTTGATGTCTTTTGACTATTCATGTTGTTGTTTCATTGACGTATGCGCCCTATATCTTCATTACTTAATTCATATTATAGACCAAAAGCAGATACGGCGTATTACAATGTGGGACAAAATTAATCTAATAGAGGTGATATTAAAGCAAAGAACTGTTCCCTATATCTTTCTTCTTCATTAACATATACTGGAGTTTATGATTAAAATATTTAGTAATCTTGCAGACATAATTATCCGTAGCCTGAAACTCACAATGCAAAACAGAAGGAAACTCATCCTATTCAAAAATAAATACAAATGACAGTTAATTAACTGGGGACTGCATTCATCACATCATAATCTCGAAATCAATTTAGAACTTGAAAAGCAAACACATTATAAGCCTATGCACTTGTTTTTTTTTAATATTTTTTAATACACTGCTAATATCTCACAATCATTGTAGCGCAGTAGGTGAATTTAACACCGGCAAAATTACTTCATTTTAACCTTAACACCTTAGACATCAATTCAGTAGCACTCGTCTTTTCCTTTTCCATCAACTGTACTGCTGATACTGGGAAGGTAGGTTCCATCCATGTAAATGAACTGTCACACCGCTGATGCTGTAAAGGTAGGTTCCATCCATGTAAATCAACTGTTAAACCTCTGATACGAGAAAGGTCGGTATACCCGAATATGCAATCGCTAGTAACGTAAGTATTTATTGTTAAATTGTACATTAATTCTACATATTCTTACGATTTATATCTATCCATCTCACATCCTCTGTGATTATGCACAGTTTTAGATAAAAGAAGGAATATACAAGTTAAACAATGTAATATGGTGGCGAATGATGATTTCCACTTTTTTCGGGAATGGTAACATGAGGTTTCGCTGGTTTCACTTGAATTTTCTTGTGTTTAATCTCTACAATAAACATGTTCTATGTTACAAATATATAATTAAGAGATAAATATTTCTGTAATAATTTATGCTTGTACGCTCACTGTATTAAGTTTGGAATACATATTACTGTAAGTTAGTTAAGTAAAAATTACTACATATAAAAGGAAATGAAAGGAATCGTGTAATTGAAATGGAACTATAGTTGTTATATTTTAAATTGTTGGAAGGTTTTTTTTCAGATATTAAAAGGAAAAAATGGATTACCTTTAAAAACTAAATCTTGTAATGATAACTAATATACAATTGAAGGCGATATATAAATACTGAAGAATAAAATTTTATAAGTAAAAACATTTTGTGTTAAAAGATGTACTAGCTATCAATTTATAGAGTACATTTTAATTCAATCATCTGATGCAATAGAAGAATTGTTACTCCCATTTCACCGATCGCCCTTAGATAGCTTGATAAAACTACTTTCAGATAACAAAAGTGTGACACATCCGTAAAAAAGCTTTGTAACGTTTTGATCAGTTTTAAAACTGGATGTGGATGGAAAAATTGCACATTGTAGTGCATACATAATAATAGCTTGTTACAAAATGATTTTAGTTATTTGCTATGGGGTTCTATAATATTATAATTTATGATTTGTAATTCTGTTCTAGTATTTGTCGTTTACAATCAAAATTAAAAATAGATATTGATATCAGCTGTACTACGTATCTCACTTAAATACAGCAATAACGAAAATATTTCTACGGCATAAAGTTATTACAATAACTGGCTACGTATCTCACTCGAATACAGCCAGTAAAAAAATATTTGTGTGGAATAAAGCTATTTCAATAACTGGCCGTATGAATCACTTACGCAAATGGAGTATTTTTTTATAGAAAATAAACTGTTTTGATTTTATCACATTTGTAGAAACTATTGAAACTTACCTGTACATTTTGAATAAACAACACAAACAGCGGCAAGTAAAATTCCTAGTCCTACAGAAGACAATATCGCCAAAACTATCATACCACTGAAATATAAAAACAAAGTTTATGCGATGTCATATTTTAATAGAAATAAGAAGATGTGGTATGAGTGCCAATGAGACAACTCTCCATCTAAGTCACAATGTGTAAAAAGTAAACAATAACAGGTCAAAATACGGCCTTCAACACGGAGCCTTGGCTCACATCGAACAGCAAGCTATAAAGGATATCAACATATTTCAATTACCAAACATAGATAAAGAAGACGTGGGATAAACCCTTATAAGACAGAACACAAACAACGTTAGTGAAGCAATTTGACAGTTAAAGGTGCCAAAACAAAAACCTCTAAATTGCTCTGAATATAGAAAAATGTGAGTAATTTTTGAAGAACTAGCTCAATGGCTTGTACATCAACGCTACATTCACATAGGCAGACAATAAGAATAAAAAATGCGACATTCTAAGAGATTCCTACGTACATTTACATAAACTTCGTGTTATCTTTGAATACTTTGCTAGAAATGTAGTAGACATTTAATAATTATTATCTGTTTAATTTACAACAGAAAACAGCCTGTATTCTTCACATGTTGTCAAACGTCAAGAATCCTCATTAAGCACATTCACCAAATGATGCTGTAGAAAATCATGCCATGAAACCCGTATGTTAATAAAAGAAACAATTTGGTTTATTTCATTTGGTGAATATAAATAAAAGGAGATGAGGGGCATACGTCAATGAAAAGGCACGTTAACGACAAACATAACCCAAAATAATCTTAGAGGGCAACATTTAGTCTTCAACAACAGATTGGTGTCTACCCAATATGACAAGCTCTAAATCGTCCAGAGTCTATATAAAAATGTTATTAATTTTATCAGATCTAAATGATAAACTGACAGAAAGATTACTGCAAGTTACTGGACCAACATATATTTATTCTATCCTACCACAGTTTGTACAGTACATTTATGCTGTGAATGATACACCACAGAAGAAAATACAAATTATCTATAGCGTTGATTTAGAATTATGAAAACTATTAAAATTATTTGACGGATTCTTCAATAAAATATCTTTTGCAATTAATTATAACACTAGAAATCAAAACTAGAAACCATGAAATATACATTTGTATATGTATCAAGTTCAGTTAATTGTAATTGATGTTGTCAGTTGTTAAATACATGCATTTACGTTTATTGACAAAATCAAATAAACGAAAAAAAAAATAATAATAAAGGAGAACCCCTGCATTAAAAAAACCCCTCCCCCCAAAGAACAATCGTATAATGTATTCGTTTTCGAGACAAGTGTCTTATATACATGTTAACACATTAAACAGATAGACGAAGAGCAAGAATATTCAATAAAGAACATCTGTGACTTTTGAAATGATTTACTTACTTAATTGATAAACACAGAGATGTTCCTGTGCAATAAAGACCTTCTGGACAACACCAAGTGCCTCCTGTACATTGATGATAGGTTGCTGGACATTCTTCTTGTGCAGCTAAAATGAAAAATATTGTCAGTTCTAAAATCAGAAAAAGAAAATATTTATTCAATTATCGCTTAAAATCGACAATTTAAAGAATAATATTTTGTCAAACTAAAATGAAAAAAAGAAGGAATTAAACCAAATATGATTGTACTCTTGGTATAAAGTTCATCAGTTAACTTGTAACTAAAAAAATAAAAATATAAAAGGAAAATTTCATGTACTGAAGTATAGGTTTTAAACGACTTATTAATATTTAGTTTTTCTTTTCTCCAATATTACCGTTTGACTTATAATTGGGAGTAAGAGGAAAATAAAAATTAATCCATCGGACAACAATTCGATTTTTTTTTACAGTAAAAATAATTCAGATATTTCAGTCCACATCTAATGTTATAAATAATTAACTGCAGCTGTGCAAAAAGAATTTAGCATAACATATAAATTACTTACACTGGCAAGATACTTCTAATATTACATTGAAGAAGGTTAAAAGAAATACGTAAACATATGCAACATCCATGTCTCTTATTGAAGTTATTTTTCGGAAATGCTTACATATGATTATCTTTTTCTTTTATACCTATTGCCGATGATATTTTGAGATTCAGTCGAAATTATTAAATACACGGAAATGATATTGTTCTTAACCACCCGCTATAAATTTCAGCTAATTCAAACAAAGCCCTTTAAAATTAACGTCATCAAGCATATTGTTATATCAGTAAAAATGTACTTGTTTGATGGAGCGGAAATAACAACGTAACATTTCAAGGGCATGAAGATTAATTCCAGTAATATTTATATAAATAGAATTATTTGGAAACCGTCAATCATTTATTTCAGAGGATTTCTTCAATCATAATTTCGTGTAAAAAATACATCACTACCACCACCCGGCGTGTTACTGGAACTACAGCTATGGTAATGGGAATGCTCTGAACAATTTTATTTATGAAATGTGCATTCTTCTTCACACACATGGAGTTAATTACTATGACTGTTATACTTTCTGAGATGAAACAACACGAATATCAAATCGTCATCAGATCAGTTGCGTGAATTTGAAACTAGCTGAAAAAGAAAACAAAGATAATATTTGTGGTTGAGCATGTGATCTTCTGCGAGACAAAATTTAGCTCGAGATAATTGAACTGATAAGATATCATTTCATTACACTTGTTAAAATCATTAAAAAACATCTTAATAATAAATCTTGCAATAAATTGTTGAGAAAAGAAAAAGTAAAAACAGAAAAAAGAAAAGAAATAAAATGAAATGAAATGAAATGAAAAGTAAAAAAAAATATTGTGATTTATGCTTTGCTTGATAACCGTTACGTTAAGTTTAATCTACATTTTAAGCATATATATATAGGGAGAAAAGAGTTTTTTAGGGATAAAGCTGACGCAGCATCTGAGATCATCCACGGCTTTTATGAGGGTTTCAAACTTTTTGTATTGATAATGTGGATTGTTTACTCTTCATCGATTCCCTTTAGGTCTGGGTTTTGTTTGTTTTTCGACTTATTGTTTTGTGGACTGTTTTCTATTCATCGTTTTCCTTTCGGCCAGGGTTTTGATTGTTTATCGACTTACTGTTTTTGTGGATTGTTTTCTCTCAAGTATCGTGCTTTAGGCCAGGGTTTTGTTTGTCTTTCGACTTATTGTTTTTGTGGATTGTTTTCTCTCAAGCATTGTGCTTTAAGCCAGGGTTTTGTTTGTTTTTCGACTTACTGTTTTTCTGGACTTTTTTTATCCATCATTCTCCATCAGGTCAGGGTTTGGTCTGTTTTTCGAAACTTACTGTTTTTGTGGACTGTTTTCTCTCAATCATTTTCCTTTAGGTCAGGGTTTTGATTGTTTTTCGACTTACTATTTTTGTGGATTGTTTTCTCTCAAGCATTTTCCTTTCGGCCAGGGTTTTGCTTGTTTTTTGACTTACTGTTTTTGTGGATTGTTTTCTCTCAAGCATTGTCCTTTAGGTCAGGGTTTTGTTTGTTTTTCGACTTATTGTTTTGTGGATTGTTTTCTATCCATCATTTCCCTTAAGGCCAGGGTTTTGCTTGTTTTTCGACTTACTGTTTTTGTGGACTGTTTTCTATCCGTCGTTTTCCTTTTGGCCAGGGTTTTGTTTGTTTTTCGACTTACTGTTATTGTGGATTGTTTTCTCTCAATCATTGTCCTTTTGGTCAGGGTTTTGTTTGTTTTTCGACTAACTGTTTTTGTGGGCTGTTTTCACTCCATCATTGTAGTTTAGGGCAGGGTTTTAATTATTTTTCGACTTACTGTTTTGTGGACTGTTTTCTATCCATCATTTCCCTTTCGGCCAGGGTTTTGTTTGTTTTTCGACTTACTGTTTTGTGGACTGTTTTCTATCCATCGTTTCCCTTTAGGCCAGGGTTTTGTTTGTTTTGTTTTTCGATTTACTGTTTTTATGGATTGTTTTCTCTCCATTATTGTCTTTTAGGCCAGGGTTTTGTTTGTTTTTCGACTTACTGCTTTTGTGGACTGTTTTTTATCCATCGTTTCCCTTTCGGTCAGGGTTTTGTTTGTTTTTCGACTTACTGTTTTTGTCGACTGTTTTCTCTTAATCATTTTCCTTTGGGCCAGGGTTTTGTTTGTTGTTCGACTTACTGTTTTTGTGGATTGTTTTCTCTCAAGCATTGTCCCTTGGGTCAGGGTTTTGTTTGTTCTTTGACTTACTGTTTTTGTGGATTGTTTTCTCTCCATCATTTTCTTTTAGGCCAGGGTTTTGTTTGTTTTTCGACTTACTGCTTTTGTGGACTGTTTTCTATTCATCGTTTCCCTTTCGGCCAGGGTTTGTTTGTTTTTTTCGACGTATTGTTTTTATCGACTGTTTTCTCTCAATCATTTTCCTTTAGGGTAAGGGTTTTGTTTGTTTTTCGACTTACTGCTTTTGTCGACTGTTTTCTCTCAATCATTTTCCTTTAGGTCAGGGTTGTTTTTTTCGACTTACTGCTTTTGTCGACTGTTTTCTTTTCATCGATTTTCTTTTAGTCAGTGTTTGGTTGTTTTTCGACTTGTTTGTTTTTGGACTATTATCTTTTCGTCGTTTTCCTTTTGGTCAGGGATTTGTTTTCAACTTATTGTTTTTGTGGATTGTTTTTTTTCCATGGGTTTTCTTTTGATCAAGATTTGTTTTCGACTTATTGTTTTTGTGAACTGTTTTCCTTTTACCGTTTTTATTTAGGACAAGGTTTTTGTTGTTTTTTAATGACTATTTTATTTAATTGTTTTCCTTTAGGTCAGGGTTTTGTTTGTTTTTCGACTATTGTTTGTTTTTGGACTATTTTCTTTTCGTCGTTTTCCTTTTGGTCAGGGATTTCTTTTCGACTTATTATTTTTGTGTGACTGTTTTCTATCCATCATTCTCCATCAGATCAGGGTTTCTCCACTTATTGTTTTTATGGACTGTTTTCTTTTTATCACTTTCCTTAAAGTATATTACAGTATTTATTCCAAGTTTTCAAGAATCTCAACCTAAACGAAAGTAGCTTGTTAATCATCTCAAGATATACATATATATCCATTTGCATACCATTAAACTTTAAAAGACAATTGACCGTTGTGTAACAGGAACTGTCTATCTCACAAAATCTAGTATGACACTATACACAATTCTTTAATTTAAATTCAACGATGATTATTCAAAAACATGCCATAAATACTGTCCGATACTGATCTCCCTAAAACAAAGAGGATTTAACTTTAAATGAATTACATTTTAATTTGTGCCAACTGTGTATGACGTGAAATAGCAATTTAATATTTCCTAGTATATGATATAAAGGCCTATATATAAATCAATATACTGTGGTGGGTAAAACGTTCTTCTTTATATGTTACATAGATACCTAGTTTTACTTGAACTTATTCCAAAATTCAAAAAGGCACATGAATGAAATAGAATGGAATTGGACAAGAAATCCCCAAATTCGAAAATATAGAGGATATGTACAAGTTTGGACGTGAACAAACCAAAACCGAAAAATAAACCTGTTTATTTAATAAATGGAATGCTACTCGTATCTTCGTTACTAAGCGTGCGTGCAATAAAGAGGATAGGGCTCGGTCATGTTTTGTAATACTAACCGAATACTTTTTGCAAAATAATGGTCAAGGACTCAACTAAATTAATTCTTATTGATATACTGTATCATATCATTCTGAAACAATCACGCTTTTCCTTTTCGTGTATACATTCCCATCAGTATGCATGCTTGGGTTTCGCGGAAAAGGTACAGTACAGTAATGTTCACATCATTGGTCTTTATGGATAGCTGTCACATTGGTGCATCATTTTATAATGTTAATGACTTTCAAAACTATACGTGTTTCCGCAATCATGTTTAAATATTCTGCAATAGATTCGATGTGACTCTGTATATTTCCACAATTCTTCAGATGCTCCCCTGACGATTCAGGCAAGATTTTTAAATTTTTACTGAATAATAAAATATGTAGTTTGTAGTAATTCGGTTTTGATAAAACTGCATATTTTTCATAATTTTTTCAGTTTAATTGATATTCTGGCTTTTATTAGTTTAACCAAGAAAAATAAAGTTGCTTTGTTATTTCAAAAAGACTTAATGCTTTACCTAGTCGACTTTGGTTTGTTTCATTTACTCTTATATAGACACTTCAGAATAATCTCATTTTATTGATTCAAACTAGTCAGTATCAGTTTCGGACGAGCTATCGTAACCAAAGATCTAAACATGTGTTGAGCTTGCTCGCCAAACGATGAGGTTCGCGTCTACTCCATTTTTTTAGTATAATTGATAATATGCATAAAATTATTGAAAACACTTTCATTTGTTTCAATTTGATTAGAATTTCCAAGGTTTAATAAATATGTCACCTGGAGGGAAGAGAATTCGGTTACTGAGCTGAAAAAAATTGCATGTATTTTTGCAGGAATACATAGAGTCAACATGTTTTAAGAACTGTGTTAATTATCCCAACTGAAATTGCCATTACTTTGTGAATGGCATTGCAATTTAAAAGGCAAATAACGTGCAAAGCCTTTATTTCGTTCGATCAGAACAAAAATGGGAGGTTACTATTTTGACTCAGTCAGATGAAAACATGACCACAAGGTTCAATTCTTTATTCTGATTGTCCCCTGAATACAGCTAGGCCAATTGTTTGATAGTAGCCCTCCATTTTTTTTTATCCTACTAATAAAGGCGTGTCTGACGAACAACAGTATGTGCCTGGTATCTATGATTAGTTTTTAGATCCATAAAATCATATAAATACTCTTTTAACTGCCTATAGGTGGTGTTGTGGTACCGTGCTCGCCTTGAGTGCCGGGAGTCGTAGTTTCGATCTTCGTTCGGGTCAAACCAAGTCCCTAAAAATCCTAAAAATGAGTTTGTTCTTCTTCTGCGCCAAGCATGTGGATTTTAAGAGTAAGACTAAAAAAGACTAGTCACGTATTTGTCTGTTTTAAGGTGACATATCTTCCTGTAGACTGTTAGTCTGTGACCACGTTAACACGTTATATTCATATCTTGATATCAATACTATATTTGCCCTTAGACATCATCATCATTATTATTTTTATTTTTATTATTATTATTGTTTTTATTATTATTATCATTATTATTATTATTATTATTATTATTATTCTATAGACCCTCTAGCTGAACTTCTTTTTATCATATTTATTTTTAATAAAGTAATAATAAAATTGAGAATGGAAATGGGGAATGTGTCAAAGAGACAACAAACCGACCACAGAACAGACAACAGCAGAAGGCCACCAACAGGTCTTCAATGCAGCGAGAAATTCCCGCACCCGGAGGCGTCCTTCAGCTGGCCCCTAAACAAATATATATACTAGTTCAGTGATAATGAACGCCATACTAAACTCCAAATTGTACACAAGAAACTAAAATTAAAAATAATACAAGACTAACAAAGGCTAGAGGCTCCTGACTTGGGACAGGCGCAAAAATGCGGCGGGGTTAAACATGTTTATGAGATCTCAACCCTCCCCCTATACCTCTAGCCAATGTAGAAAAGTAAACGCATAACAATACGCACATTAAAATTCAGTTCAAGAGAAGTCCGAGTCTGATGTCAGAAGATGTAACCAAAGAAAATAAACAAAATGACAATAATACATAAATAACAATAGACTACTAGCAGTTAACTGACATGCCAGCTCCAGACTTCAATTAAACTGATTGAAAGATTATGTCTACATCATATGAATATCAGGCACAATCCTTCCCGTTAGGGCTTTAGTATCATACCATCATAACATATATGAGAAGAACATAACCCGTGTCATGCCAACAACTGGTTTTTAAATAAATGTGTTTAGTGCCGATGCAAAGACCCTATAAGTGAATCAATATTAACGCCAAAATATGCAATCTTTAATGACCTGACAACAGTATCGTAACTATATCCCTTCTTAATAAGTCTATTTAAAGGTTTTGTTAGTTTCAGAGGTGAATACTGACTACATTAACATAAGGGAACTCAAATTAAAAAATCTAAAATATCAAAATTAAATAATTTGTTTACATAAGATTCTGATAGCTCCTGCATAAATAATCAAATCAAAATGGATGTATGATCAACTTAACTTGCTTACATGTACAAACAATCCTGATAAAAAATGAATTCTAGCGACCATGTTCAAAGGTCTCAGAGTGACTATGCTTCAAAATTTAGTAAAATTGTCAAATTATAACGACTCGCCAGTAGTTGTCGTAACTCGTATCTTAATGTTTTTTTTTAATTTACGTTTTTTTGGAAACTTGGGTGTTAATGAAAGAATTGTTTCCAGTTGAAATTGCCATCTAGAAGTCTTTTGTTTTGGTTAAACATGTTTGTTAGCGCTCAACCCTTCCCTAACCTGGGACAGTGGTGTTACAGCACAACATAAGAACAAAGTAGAAAAAATCAGTAGAAAATGGCATAAATCATCAGATCGATACAAAGCAGAAAAACATCTAATAAAAACATAGACCGGACATGGCAGGGTATTTATACATCCCTAACAACAAAAAAGACGCAAAGTACAGATCTGAGAGTACTCGCAGTTACTGACAGCTACTTCAAAGCCAAAAACAACTAATAAAAGAAACCATGTATCTCGGATTAAAATATCAATCAGTAAAATTAGGATGTGCTATTCCGACTGAAATAAGTATTTTGCAGGTACAGCCAAACTTGCAAACTATATCTTTGTATCTACGGAAGAATTTAGTAAAGGTTTTAAGTAATTTGGGGTAACGAAATCCCTGACTTAACAATTTACCAATAATACATAAATTACGTTCATTGAAATCAAAAACATCACTACAGACACGGGCATAGCGAACGAGTTGGGATATATAAACACCGTAAGACGATGCTAAAGGAACATCACCGTCCAAAAAAGAAAAATTAACATTAGGGAAAGAAAAATCATCCCTTTTGTCGTAAATATTTGTGTAGAATTTATGGTGTAAACCTGAAATGTCTAAATCTAGGAAAGGACACTTATTGCTGTTAATAATTGATTTATTTAAGGTAAGTTCCTTTAGGTAAATGTCGGCAGTATAGTAAAAAAATTCTTGATTATTTAACGAAAAAATATCATCAAGCTAACTGTAAGTGTTTTTGAATTTATTAATTGAATGGTCTTTACTGAGTTTGGCCATAAACTGTGATTCATTACAGTACAGGAATAAGTCTGCTATTAAAGGGGCACAATTGGTGGCCATAGGGATACCGGCACTCAGAGATCTGCCATAAACATGTAATTATATAAGAGAAAGATAAATAGTCAAACAAAATTTGCAAGAGCAATTTGAAAAACTTTTTATATCTACAAACAGCATATTAAACATGATAATGTATTATCTATAATTCATGTCACATCTTCTTCTTACAAGCATGATCCCATCTCTTACAGGAAGCAGGACCTATAATAAATATTATGACATTATTTTTCTTCGATTGATATTTGTATAAAAAGAGCAATACACGGTGTCTTATTCGTGTCTATGCAGATTCCTTGAACATTAATATTTATGATAAAGAAAAGCGAGACATCAGTTATTAAAAAAATGTGTTCAAATTAAAACAAAAGTTTATTATTTCATAGTATTTTATTTCTAGACTAACTTCTCAATTTATTATCTTTCAGAAGGAAAGAAAATAATTTAGCTTTATATTTGTCTGACAAAATCAAGAGTATTGAAGAAGTGAAAAAAATGATGCAAAAAAATGCTCTGTTCCATCATGGAAGTATTATATTGACTTCCATGATCATATATATATATATATAAGTCACTTACATGGTAGATATCCTCTCTTGTCGCTATTATCTCATTCACATCCTTTATTCTATCGTCGTGGGGTGTATCTGTCATATACGATCTTCCACTGGATAAGGCATTATCTAGGGCGATAGTACCTCCAGGTGCCAATAAGTTGTTCAGGGCTATCTTCAATGAATATATTGTTAAAGTAATAACATTTAACATATAATAATCATTAATTTCACATACATTTTTACTTATTATTTCTATTAAGGAGTAAAATAATCTATCCATATTGAGTAAAACTTTGACTGTATATTGCTCCAATAAATTAACATTAGAATGTTATTAATAGATTATAACAGATCTAGAGGAATAAAGGAAAACATACCGTGAATAATAGCACTTATAGATTTTTTTGACATAAATATTTTTTTATACTCCAGCTAAAAACGGCTACGGTAAAAGTTGAAAAAATGTTAACACAAGATCAAAACTTATTTTCCATCCCTAAACGAGCCCTATATTGAGACGTGAAATTTCAAGAACTATTACGTTGATACTGTATTTGGTAATTTGAGACAACATTAGTGTTCTATCTGCAGTATAAAAAAGTATGGTAGGTTGTAGTGGTCACCAAACATGTTAAAATGATTAACAGACAAATATGTATTTTTATTGTACCAAAACAAATCATTGACTTCTGCAACCATTCCTTCTTTGCATAGGTTAACATACATTTGTGATTTTCAGCAAAGTTGTAAAACATTTTTATTACAAAAAATTAACCTTTGATCTTTTTGTACTAAGTTGTCTAGTGCCATTAAGATAAAAAGAGCTATGAAATTCTTGTTTTGTAAGTTGTATTTGTATAAACTATTTGAAAGAGGCAGTGCCAATTTTCCCTGAATAATTTACACGAAGACCATTTTCTGAAAGTCCTTTGATCATTTCTAAAATTCACAGTAATATAGATTTGAATGTGTATTTTTGTAATATTTTTGTTTATAATTGAACATGTGGCAAAATTATAAGTAACTAATGATTACATTTCGGTGCCTTTTGTAGCTTACTATGCGGTATGGGTTTTGCTCATTGTTGTAGGCCGTACAAGTTGTCTCGATGGCAACCATACCACATCTTCGTATTTTTATATAAAAACCTCAATTTTTGACAGATTTTTGCAAATTTGTGTTATCTATCCAAAAAAGTGTATTAGGCCATTCTTAACCGGAACTTAAATTCGGTGGGAGGTAGAGCTATACATTGGTCTTTGAATTAAAGTTAATTCATTTCGATTAGAGACGTTCTTCGATGCAAAATTTTACAAAAACATATAAAATTTGCAGTATTGTCTACTGCAGTGCTGAAAAATATTTTTATTTTATTGAAATGTGTAAAATTGTTGATAATTTCTGTGAGAATATTATGAAGACTGTTTGATATTTTAGGTTTAAACCATTTTCAAATTTTGACAATGTAAGTGAAACAATAACAGAAAAAATTGGCCCCACCTCAAATTTAAATAATGAAAAACTAAATAATCATTAAAGAACTTATGAGTACAAAATTGTTTTTGTACATATATAATTATAAACAATTAAAATACATAACTGATACATATTGGGTGTAGCACAAATAGATTTGAAGTTCCAATCTAATACTGTAGATTTATGCTCTGCTAACATAGTATAATTATTTAAGGTACTTAAATAGCACTACATTATTAAGGTACATTTACATCACTGATAAGTTGTACTATAAAGTACATATGGAAAGGTAGCTCTATTTAAACCAATCACTGTAAATTATATTTGGATAGTTTAAACGAAAAATCATTACAGTCAGCTGCTATTTATAGATGCAATCATACTGAATTTTATCTAAGTAAACTTACATGAAAGTATTCAGATTTTCCAGGTCTATCAGCATCTATGAAAATGAAATCAAACTGCTCTCCACTTTTTGCAAGATCTTTGATAGTGTCTAATGCTGAGCCTAAAAACATCTAGGTTTGAGAAAATGTTTCATTTCTATATTTTTTGTGTTTTACATTGCTACGTTAAAACTCAAGTCTTGAAGATAAAAAACATCTTAGCATTGACCTTTACTATTGTAATACTATATTAATTTATGAAGATCGATATCATCGACAGCATTAAGTAGAGAAAACCAAGGTTTTCCACTAACCCAACTATATTTTATCTGTATTGGACACCTTGGTGTTCAACAACATACTTGATGTACAAATTCCATTAAGTCTCCCTGTTACATTGAATGATAAATATACATATAGAAATAGTTAATTTTGATTCATGTTATGCTATTTCTAATCTTTAATTTCTATATGATAAAATTATCTATAAATACTCAAGCTATGCATACGTTAACTGAAATTATTTTTATTTTTCCGTTATGTAATCCAAAATATATGAAGGGATTCCAAAGCAGAGAAAAGACACTTGGCCATCATCTGCTGTGTTTTATTTGACAAATTTTGAAAGCTAATACACATGTACATATAGAATATATATATATAATTGATGTTACCAAATAGAACTCACAAAGTAACACATAATGTTTTCCAAATAAAAAAGCTGAAAGACACAAAAACTCTCTTTTACCTGGTGGGTGATCCTTTTAGAACACATTTTGATTGATAATTTAGAATAATACAAAATGTATGAATGCATTCTAAATTTGAGGGCATATATTGCCTGTTTCTTAGATGAAGTACCAGGTTTGGAGTATACAAAGCTACGATAACAGTCTGATGTGTATTTTTTTTATTAGCGGAATATTGTTCCCGCCCCCCGTAAAATGTTTGTTACTTCCTTAAACAAAGACTTTCAAAGGGAAGTTTTCCGTCACAAAACCAGCAAATATATATGTTGCCAAAAGTCATGAAAGCGTTAGTGACATTATTTGAACGAGTTTTAAATATTTGATGTAAAATTTAGTCTTTTCGAATTATAAATTTTGATATATACATTCTGCGCACCTTTTTAATTTACTTTTGTTATATACATATGTATATATAAAATTAAAATTTGATGTGGCGGCATGGTAAGTAACATTGTCATCCTTAACGACAGACAAAACATTTCTGATCTGAAAAGTACAACATCTACTTTCCACTATGCATGTACTGTGTTACAACCCTACATAAGCAAGGATTCGAATCCCGCTGACGAAAGAACAGAAATTTGCTAGCGCAAATTTGCAAATGTAACATTGTTGGGCCAAATATGAGACAAAATTTAAATTCATATTTAAATATGAGACAAATTATATATCTACATGTATATTTAAATATGATATCTTACCTATAAGAATTTCTACCTTTTTACCATGATGCGATCGATCCATATAAGTCCTTGCAAGTTTGGCTAAATATGGATCAAATTCACATGTAACAACCTTTCCATCATTTGGCATGACTTCCGCCATGCCTAAAGCACTACATCCAGTAAATAAACCTACTTCTAATACCTTCTTAGCTTTTGAAGCATTAACTAAGAACTTCAATACATAACCTACAAAAAATAAAGTACTTTTAAACTATAATATGAGCCACATTATTAAAACGCATTAGATTAATCATACAGATATTCACTACAAAAGTGTACCGCCGATGATAAGCATATTGTCAAAAGATTTCTAAGTCATTGGTTAAATTGTGTACTAAAAAGACTTGCGCTTTACAATGCCACTTTTCTGTCAGTTTATACAATTATAAATTTAGCGCAACTTTGTTTAAACTGCATTTTTGCGGTTCCAATTTTGTATCGTATTGTGTCTGTTGAATTATTTTTCAGGTACAAAACTACAGTTGTAACATTGTTGGGCTGAATCAAATTCACAAAATGTACATATATTTAGAAATTAAAAGACCTGCAAATTAAGCGGACGAAGAAAGTCATTGCTCGACTAACAGAAATTTCATTTGTTGTAAATCTTAAATGACCAATTGTAGATTGCCTCAGTGTACGTGTTGATGTCTCAACAGCTTTGATTCATACCCCAATTATGAACGATTTAAATTTGCAAGTGTCTGAATAAATGTGGATTAAACAGTGAGGGGATGCATTTATATCTTTTAACTATATGGTTTCAAGGAGATCGCTCTAACAATTTAAGAGAAGATCGGATTCTTAACTTCCTCCCAAACAGAGGCTGAAACATGAAATTTCCCCTCTATCTTCTAACTAACTAGACAACACTGTCTATATATATGTAAGTCTATGAACCGCGATGGTACTACAAGCCGCAACGGGTACGCTGAGGTGTGATGGTTCGACGCTGAAGTGCTTTTTTTTTTATCTCGATGCAGTGCGATGGAGGCAATGACGTTATTTTGTTGACAGCTATGCTGAAATGCGTTGGTTTTAACGCTGAAGTGCTGCAATGGATTACTAATAATAACTGTAAGGTTGTATTTACTCTGTATATACAGAATAGGCGTAGACAAAAATAAACTAACGTTCATACACTAAATGAAAACAACATGTTATTAATTTCATGCTTCCGAAGCGCTTTACAATCGTTTCGAAAATGACCACTATAGACCCTACATGCAAATTTATTTCCATTAAGCTCAGTACTATTTTCAATGACTAAAGAACGTGGTAGTTGTTTCAAATGCAACGACTAATTGATTAGTCAGAACGAAACAAAATAAACAACAAATCTTTTAAACTTCTCTAAATGACTTATTACTAATAATAACTGTAAGGTTGTATTTACTCTGTATATACAGAATAGGCGTAGACAAAAATAAACTAACGTTCATACACTAAATGAAAACAACATGTTATTAATTTCATGCTTCCGAAGCGCTTTACAATCGTTTCGAAAATGACCACTATAGACCCTACATGCAAATTTATTTCCATTAAGCTCAGTACTATTTTCAATGACTAAAGAACGTGGTAGTTGTTTCAAATGCAACGACTAATTGATTAGTCAGAACGAAACAAAATAAACAACAAATCTTTTAAACTTCTCTAAATGAGAGCAAGGAATCGTGGAACTCATGAGAGGAACAAAGTAAAGATAAATTGTAAACGATTACTTATGTCCACATATAGCAACAGTAAAAAAGAACAATCTCTCATTTAGTATAAAACTGTAACTAAGGACATAAAACTATGGAATATATTCTTGCATTTCAAATTTTGCAAACACCGTTTAAAAAGATGTACATTACAGCTATAGATAAAACCATAATATTAGCAGGATACTTTCTTATGATATTCAAACAATATACAATTGAAAAGGCCAAAAAAGTACGGTTGAAGAGATTTACAACTAGCCACCACGTGTAATATAGACTATAGCACTTCAGCGAAAGGACCATCACGCTTTGGTCCGTCCGTCCCGCTTTATGTTAAAGTTTTTGGTCAAGGTAGTTTTTGATGAAGTTGAAGTCCAATCAACTTGAAACTTAGTACACAATCATGTTCCCTATGATATGATCTTTCTATTTTTAATGCCAAATTAGAGTTTTGACCCCAATTTTATGGTCCACTGAACATAGAAAATGATAGTGCGAGTGGGGCATCCGTGTACTATGGACACATTCTTGTTTTTTTTTTATCTATCAAGCCAATTTTAAACCAGTATTTTTTTTGTCAATTATTTGTCAACAAAAAAATAAGCAATACATTTAAGCTATAAGTTTATTTATAAAAGTGAATGTGTGTGTATATTTGTAAACCTTCAAGATTTCCTGACATCATTACTGGGTTGATGTCCCATTTGGTTTTTTCTTCATTATAAAGTTGCTTCCATGGATGCTCAAGAGTGTCTTTGATTAGAGCTGCCATTGCTTCACTTGGTCCTGTTGTTTTCTGATCACAATAATCATCTCTTTTCTACACGATAAAAGAAAACCAGTACTAAGTTAAAGGATTATTTCTAAGATGTTCAATTGGCGCTGCATCATAGGTTTGAGAAAAGAAATTATTTATGAATTTTCACTATCTGTTTTTGTGCTTGGTACCAATCTAATAATTAAAGCCGTTCTCTCAATTTGTTATTATGCGGTGTTGTTACAATGCTGGCCCATGTTGAGGAGAGGTGAGCGAGCATACACATGTTAAACATCGCCTCATTCTCTATGTGACTGTACAAATTTAGCAGCTTGTAATCCAGTGTTTGTCGTTGGTTGCTGTCTGCCATAATAGTATTCCGTTTATTGGTTTATTGTTGAAAAGGAGAGGCGAAAAATACCGAAGGGACATTCAAACTTTTAAGTCGAAAATAAACTGACAACGCCATCGATTAAAAAGAAAAAGACTGGAGGGGGGGGGGGGATATCAAGTGCTCCGGATGGGTAAGTAGATCCTGTCTTCGTGTTGCTTACGTTAGTACAAACCCGGTCATGAGTCTCATTCGGTCACGTGCGGGGAAAAGGGGACGGGATTGTAATTACGACAATTGGAACATATCCGTTGTCATCTGTGAAACGGATACTCCATAACGGACAACTAACCCGTGATAGCGTCCGTAAAATTTACGAAGGGATAATTTCAACTTCACCACTTTGAACTCTTGATTCAATAGCTTCCTTGTGAGCAGTAACCTTCTATCAAGGAAATCATGATAGGAAATACAAGCCCTGAAATGTATCAACTGGGAGATATATTTTCCGTATGTAGGCGCTGCTGGAATGTTGCTACATAGAAATGGAAAGTTCACAATTGGGAAGCTGAATTCATCTATTTCGTCGTAAAGTTTTGTTATCAACCGACCCTCATTGTCAATTTCTAGATGTAAGTCAAGATATGAGACAGGCTTTACTGTATCTGTTGTACCCTTATCTCAAGTTCGATGGGATAGATGCGTTCAACATAGTCACCAAATTTTGAATTATTTAGTGAACATCATCTATATAGCGGAAAGTGAAGTTAAAGGATACTGCTAACTTCTTTTCTTTCTTCCTTATAAGTTCCTGTATGAAGTCAGCCTTATATGAATAAAGGAACAAGTCGGCAAGAAGAGGTTGGTTCCTAACAAAGTACGATTTGTCCCTCCCTACGACAAGATATTTGTATCTACGATGGCCATTCTTTTTTATGAACAAAATTATAAATCAGGAAGTTGGTTTTCTCTTTTGAATTATTTCACATGTTGTCCATCAATGGTCTTTTATACCTTACTATACGATATTGGTTTGGCTTATTGGTAGCCATATATGGTGACCTTAATGGAAAGTTTTCTCCATGACAATAAAATCACGTCACCTTATTTTTCTTTTTAAATATTAATGAAACTATCAATTTCTTTTTTATGTCATTGTATGCTATATTTCAAAACAAATAATCAGGCCAAATGTAAGTAAATAATCTTGCGACCTTATTTTTACTCTAGCTTTCAAATTGAACTTTAATTCAGCAGCCATGTAAAGGTCTGTGGCTTTAAAATAAAATCATGATTGATATTTTCTAAAATTGACAAATATTGTCTTGTATAGAATTGTTACGATTCACACTTGAGATCAATCTTGGTACCTTCATTAGTTCACCAACTCTTTCTAAACCAGAAATGACAGTCACTGGAACATCTATGGATTTCGCCAATGTAAGGACTTCCCTCAGTTTTCTCATAGCTGGGTCATGATGGTGTGAATCTGACATTGTTCTTAATCCTAAAGTGTATTTAATATAAAAAATATCGTTTACTTTGAGAAATCCAAGCAAACGATAAATAACACATCTGAGCATAATGTTAGAAGAGTTATTATCATAAAATATATAAGAACAGAACATTTGGGTTATTTTTGGTTTATATTGTTTAAGCCGTTCTTCGAAATATGAGTTATGATAAATCTTTTTAAAGGAAAATGTACTTTAAGCACTCCAATGTTACGTTTCTCAAATCATTAACACATTCAGTTGAAGTGCATATAAAACTCCGCTTACTATAAAGATAACGCATTTACTTAGTACATTCAATTTGAGCATATATTGGTAAGAATATTTCACCAACATTGTTTAAAGATAAATGAGAAAACACGTTTTGAAGTTATGGAAATGTCTGTACCAATTCGGGAATATGACAGTTATTTACCATTCGTTCCGTTGGTTGATAAAGTTCAACGTTCAATTTTTGTCAGTTTTCATGATCTCCCCTTTCTGAATTTCGATTTTGGTATTTTTGTTATACTTTTTTAGGTACATCCGTTCATGTTCAATGATCGCCAAAACCATCAGTATCTGTATTAGTATTGCAGTAAAGAGCCAAAAGATACCAAAGGGATATTATAACTCATAGTCTATAACAAACTAACAAAGCCATAGAAAACAAACCTGAAAAAAAAACACAAAAAGACAAACACACTCAACACAACATAGAAAAAAACTAAAGAATGAGCAACACGAGCCCCACCAAAAACCGGGTGTCATCTCAGGCGCTCCGGAAGGTTAAGCATAATCTGATCCAAATATGGCATCCGTCGTGGTGTTCGTATAAGTATACACTCGATGATAAGTCTCATTCGGCAAAGTCACATTTGAGGAAAAGAGGGTGTGATTGTGTTTACGACAAAACGTAAAATTTTTCGAATGAATGACTTCTAATTTACCACTTGAAACCCCAAGTTTAGTTGTAACTAATGTAAATATATGTTTAGCATCACATGAGGCAGTAATGTTATTTCTAAAGCTGTTGCAAGAATAGCGCAATTCATTAAAGCAGCTGCAGAAAAACAAATATCAAAAACCAGTTAATATACTAATCTAACCGACCAGACACCAAAGGGCGAGGATGAATGGGCACTGTTTGACCCTCAACAATGAACAAAATACGATACTGTATTAAAGATATAAGAAGCTATAAAAGGCTCCATCATGACAAAATAAGAAACAATTCAAAAAGAGGAAAACCAAAGACCTGAGTAATGCCAAAAGCTATATATAAAAAACAAGTATGGCAAACAACAACCAATGACAATTACTGAATTACAGGCCCCAGACTTTGGACAGGCATACAAACAGCGCCCAACTTACCCCTTACCTAGGAAACATAGTATGAACAATCGCATCATTTAAACCAATAACAGAAACAGTCAATAAAGTACTAGCAGTAAAAGTAGTTGTAAATACTACAGTGAGTAAAGCAGTAGTAACTTCAAGAGCAACAATTTCAGAGGAAGTAAATGCAAATAAAGCTCATATATAAGGGGACGACCATTTGATTTTGGGGATGGGGATAAAAGGGGGCGGCTTGGCGAAGGAAGATATTTTTCGGTCGAAAATACATTTTTATCTGTTGCTAGTCCAGCTGATTTTTTCGCGGTTTTTCATATCTTGCCAGGCCAGAATATTAATTTCTTATATACCTCACATCCTAAGAATATCAAATGATCGTCCCCAATTAATACCATACGGTATAGTAGTTAATCCAGCAATGCATATAACAATTGCAATAAAAACATTTATTTAAAAAGTTATAACTACCTATTATTATTAGCAACTATTCAGTGATGACGAACTCCAAAGTGTAAAGTATTCACTGACCTTTCAAGATTTAATATATATTTTTATTCTCTTAAATCAAAGAAAAATGGTATAAAGACATACATAAATACATTAATAGAAAAAAATTATATAGGGAGTCCATCCATGACACAAAATCAGTAAATACACATCAAAATATTCACTTTTATTGCTGTTCTTCATCTCAAAGTCACAGTATGGCCATCAACATGGAGCAAAATACTCTCACCTCACTGCAAGTTTAAGACGGTCCCTTTCATACATAGTATAAAATATAATACAAATACAAGGTATAGGACATAAAGTGGTTACCCAGGAGATTCTAGGCATTCATTAATTATTCGAATAAATTTGCATAACTTGTTAAGTTCAGATGAGCAGTTACAATTCTTTAGATCTATGAATTAAATAAAGGAAGAATGTGTCTGAGGATACGAATGCCCCCGATCAAGATTTGCTATTTTTCAAGTTAAAAAGGGGCATAACTCTAGAACGGTAAATGACTCACTGCCCAAATCCGAACTCTGTTTGCGAGTTTAGGTTCTTAGCATTGTGTATGAGTTTTATAAAATTTGGACGAGGAAAGCTCCAGATAGAGTGCGGAAACGAAAATGGGACGGACAGACGGACGAAAAGACAGACGGAAGGAAGGACGGAAGGACGGTCAAGGGGGCATAAAACCAATTGGTCTGTTTACAAGACGATTCTTTAAAAGCTTTTTTCTGCTTTCGTCTATTGTCGAACATTCCAAAATATAATGAAACTCGTCTCCAATATCACAGGAACAACAGAAGAAAGAAATACGGTTTCCCCTATGAATATGTTGCAGTAAGGAGGTTTTGTGTTCAAAATTTAGTAGAGTAGCATATGTCTGTCTTTACTGGTCAGTTAATCTTATTATACAACCTGTTACTACTTATAAAATATTAAATGTTCAATATATTTGATAGTTCACAATTATCAACCCCTGATTTTACATTCCTACACCTATCTACCATTCCATTGTAATTATCATACACAAGATTGGTTAAATAACAGGAGGCTTCTTTTCTTTTCCCATTATAGTTCGTAATTTGATAAAACTATTCAGTGAGTATATTCCATGTTCCCTATATATATCAATAAATCAGGTGTGGATTGTTTTTAGATAAAGCTGTAGTTTACAAAATTTTAAATTAATCCGTTTTGTAACAGATGTTTTACCCATTTCTCAGACTTCACACCCATACAGCAATACCAGTTTCATTACTTTGTTAAAAAGTTCAAGTTGACATTTAATGTTCAAATTATGTAACTCCCCCTTTTTATAATATCGTACATAGCCCTGGTTACTTTCTCAGCTTATGTCTTTTTCGCTTTTGTGAAATTTCCAGTTCTTGAAAATAAAAAAACCCAGATCTGTCAATTCTTGAACAATATCAAAATCAATGTCATCATATTCAAAACTAACATTCTGTAATGGTCTACCTTTAGAAAAAATTTCTTTTATGCTTTTTTGGACATTGACTTTCAATTTCCATATATAGAGCGTCTAGCTGTTTTGTGGATCTGATTATGTTTGTGACAAAAGTACAGTATCAGTATCAGCAAATGAAGCTGTCAGATTTCAAGTTGATGCAGAATAAACGTGGAGTCGGATGTTTCTTTACAAAGCGGCATAACTCCACAATCACATAAAAAATATCACACAGGTCATGATTAATATATTTGACTCTAATGTTTGCATTGTATCAAAATTATTGATCCGAGTTTTTGTGATGATATATTTAGAAAAAGTCTATGTATTATTTTCACGTTAACAAATATGTTTTGTCAATAACACACTCTAAAGCAATTTAAAATTATCAAGAAGAAAACTATACAAAATTGCTACACAACTAAGCCAATCATGCGCGAATTTTAGAAATTGTTCAAAACCACTACTCTGATAAACCAAGGAGAACTATATTTTGACACCTTGAACAATAAATAGACTTTTCCAGTAATCTTTAATATTAGAATAAATGCAGTGTTCTTCCTACACGGTTTAAATGTTATATATTGTCGGTAAAAGTTGCATTGTATATGTGATAATCTATAATACTAAGTATACGAATTTGCCCGATTTTCAGAAAAACCCTTCCCTCAAACTGAAAGATATATAGTAGAGATTGTGCAGGTAGTTCTCATTTTAGCATTTATACTCTTTTAAAACAAAAACTAAAATAAATTCGATCAACTAGAGAATGCACAAATATTCATACCAAGTACTTAGATGCAAAGACGGATGCAGTTCTGTTTTAACGTTATGTTAACTATAGAAATAAACTCATTATAGAGACAAGGACTGAAATTGTGAACGCCAGACGCGCGTTTCGTCTACAAAAGACTCATCAGTGACGCTCGAATAAAAAAATCAAGGCCAAATAAAGTACGAAGTTAAAGAGCATTGAGGACCCTAAATTCCTAAAGTTTTGCCAAATACAGCTAAGGTAATATATTTCTAGGGTGGACAATCCTTAGTTTTTCGGAAATGTCACGCTACCAGATCCTTTTGTTTCTGCATAATCAAGAACAACTGACAATGAATAAATCCAGTCGGGTACTGGTGTTATTATTATATTATCATACATATACGTACGATGTCGGTTGATTGGTAAAAGGGCGATAAAATGAATGACTGGGATAATGATATAATGTTTTAACTCCAAACACAGATTTATCGTTTGACCTGATGTCTTCAATAACAAATTGTTTTTTGTAACCTAAAAATAAGTTAAATGAAAATTTACTTCTTAAAATCAAAACAGTTAAAAATCTGCATGATTTTAAAAAAGTAAAAAGATTGGCTGTTAATTCTGCATTTTTCACTAAAACAAATTCTATTTTGATCACAAATATCGATTGTTTCATTGTTTTCTACATATATAGTTGTTTCTATCGTACAACTCTCTTTTCCTTGATTAAAGTTTGTATTTAGGTTTCCTGAAATATTGAGAGAAATTTGTACGTTTGTTTGAAATATTTAAGTCAGTAGTGTTGTATGTTTGTGATGTATGTTTATACTTTTTTGCTGGATCCGAATTGTTTTCACATTTACCTTTTTTTATGTCTGTTTGCTCACCCAATTTTGTCAATATAACAGAAACATAATCAACGTTGGTTGATAAAGTCTAACGTTTGGGTTATAGATTTCCCCATTTGAATTTACCTTGGAGTTCGGTATTTTTGTTAATAATTTTTGTATCACTCCGAAATCTGTTTTGTGATAAAAAAAATTTAAAAAGGTACATTGGAATTGTTCGAAAGCTTTTCTCTCCTGATTTTTAAAGGGGATCGCATATTAAAGAACTTGTTTTTACACATGTATCAGTAACAGCATGAAAAAGCGTATTTTACTAAAATGAGTTTACTATTTTTTTTATATTATAGCTGAGTTGCTGTCTCCTTGACATATACCCCTTGTCTCTTTAGATGCATAGAATACCAGTTCTCCATGGAATAATATAGCAAAGGTATTTAATAATTATAAACGATAATCGTTTAATATAAAGCATGACTGGTACATTAATTCAAACTAATATTTAGAAAAAAAATAGCAAACGAATTCGACGGCGACGTGTACGTTTTTTTGCAACTAGTCATCCCATCACAATAATGATGTCGTGGTACTTTGCTTTATTCATAAATATCTATTTTAATTGTCCTTAATATCCGCACAAGTGCGAGTTACTATCTACTATTTGTTCAAGTCAATAATAGCAACTTTTGGTTAGCAACCTTTCCAGAAAATGAGTAAATTGCTAAATTGATTCTTCTGACAAACACCATATTCCAAGGGACCAAACTCATCATTGCTCATCAACAACTAGGATTCAGAAATGTCGATAACCAAAAGCTGTGGCTTTTTATGTAATCATTACCTCGCTGTTATATTTTACCTCAATGAAACAACCTTTTTTTTTAACAGTATTTATATCTCGTATTTGGGGTATTATGTCCCAAACAGGATATTATTACCCATTTGGGGATTGTACCCAACCTGATAAACTAGTAATGAGGCAGTCGCAACATTGTAAATGCGATAATGTCAAATTATAATATAATTCCAAATAATATTTAATATGTAATACACAAAAGGGTCACACACATATATATATATATATAAATGCCTAAAAATGCAATTTTAACACGCTAATGATCGCGTGTCAAAGTTACATTCTTAGGCATTTATATAATTTAATTCAGTAACTGCATCAGTGTATTTTTTAAACTGATCCACGCTGTTGATTGTTGCTATTTTTAGACACTATATATATATATATATATACCTACACATAACACAAACTACTCTGTCTAAACAGGATAAAAAATGTAAACAATACGTTATATATTTCATGCGTTCGAAGCTCAAAATGTACAAATTATACTCTATAAATATTATGTAAATTTAAAGGACATATACATGTTTATCTTCATCAATTACATACCTTATACTGACTCTTTGTGTTATGATGTATATGTCACGTGTGTATCATAGAGGTTTTCCGATAAGCTATTTATAACTTTTAATACAGGTAAACATGCAAAAGTGGCCAAGCGTTTTAGGGTCAGAACTTATTTGGGCTCACAATTTTGTATTTTGTAACAAATTAGCGTTATTGTTTTGTCCTCATTTCGCAGATTTTTATTTTACTTTTAAAAATCTGAGTTAATGGCTATACGAAAACTGATGATAAACTTTCAACAAAAAGACATATTTCCTATCTAGTCATTGTTTTAGCTATGATTCATGGTAATATTGGCAATACATCCTAATTTGAAATTGTAGCTAGAAATAGAGCCATTTTAGGACCTTATCGAACCTACTCATTTGTATTACCCCTGTTTTCTTTAGTCCTCGCTGAGATTTATTATTGTCGCTATCCAACTGTATTCACATCAATATGTCATTAAATGTAATTGGATATCCTGCAAATATCAAGTTTTATCATTAAATAAGATAAAATCATTGAAAAACCCCTACAAAATTATTGAAATATTTCATGTTTTTTATTCAATACAACCCGATCATTTTTTGTAAACTAATGGTCAAGGAACCTCCTAAATTAATTCTTATCGATATACTGTGTCATTTCATTCGAATTTTAAACGGTCGCACTTTTTGTTAGACTGGTTCCCGATCGCAATATTCAGTATGTTACACATATACCAATATAACGACCGGGACGGACTTTACGTTACCTTGAACTTGTTTACAACGTTCTTTAAAATCGGAGGTATTTCTAAACCAAACGCCGTCATTTGGCGAACTTTTGAATGATGGCGTCCCTGGAAACGCCCCTTTACAGGATGAATTCCGATATCAATCTCTCGGAGATGTCATTTAAATAGTATAATTTAAAAGATAAACAGGAACAAATAAGAATAAAAAAAAATGTTTTGAATAAAAAACAATTGTTTGATGCCAAAACTAGGACCTGACAAAGAAATGAAATATATAAGCCACGCTGCGCAAAACAGTAAATAATCTTCAGATCAATGAAGGACTACTGAAAACCTAAAGAAGAAGAAGAAGACCTGAACGGACCTGAGATTCTACGATCATACTTATTCAAACTTCAATCACTGTTTTATTTTTAAATGGATTTCCTTCAACCCTAGATTTTGTGAAACGAAAAAATTCTATATATAAATAATGTTCAAAAAGAAATTATGAAAAATATTGTTGTCAAAACTCGGACCTTAACGGGAAATTAAAATACCCGCTGAATTTTATTTTACTTTTGCTACAACATTTGGTCAGGTTTAGTTCCGAGTTTTCAATCTGGTAAATAATAATTATTCATGAAAAGTTACTAGCAGATGGTGGACTTCATGGGGTTTGCAATAGCCCATTCTAGATTTTGTCAAGGTCCATATTATTATTGAAAGTAGTGCTCTGGCAATATAACGTCCTTTACCACTTGTAAGAAATTAAGAAATTTTGGCAAAACTGATACAGTAGGAAAAAAAATGGGGGGACTGGGAAGTAAAAGATTGGAAAGTGAAACTTTTTTTTCTGTTTATTTAACTTTCTATATTTAGGTACATCTCTCCTCGGTTCATCTTTCTCTCAGCATATTATTGAGGGAGAGAAAAGCAATTAATCTATTATACTCAATAACCCTTTCAGTTATGATACACCTATTTGAAAGTACACCAAAACCTTTATCGGGACTCCGGGATCGGGTGTTTTTAAGCTCGGGATTTCGTGATCCGGGAATTCTTTTTTCGAATTTCGGGATGTCGGGATATAAATTTCTTTAAATTCGGGACCTCGGGATTTCATGTTTTTAAGCCCAGGATTTCGGGATCAGGACCCCTCCGACCCCCCCCCCCCCTTCTACTATGCATTGTTGGGATGACCCTTTAACCCGAACTCCTTTAAAGCTACAGAGTGATTGACAGAATGGGACAGTAATTGACATTAAAGGAGAAAAGGTGAGATATTTGCTTTCGCTGCGTTAGTTTAAAAAATAAAGTAGAAACCTGAAAAATCGAACATATTATATGGTATGTATTAGAGGAAAAGAAAGGGCTCCAGAAGGGTTCACCTAAGATCAAATGCATGGTCAATTTCAGAAATTTCTTCAATTAACCAGGTCATTTTAGGCAACTATACAGTTCTAAACTGATCTGGTTCTCGGTTTTAAACACATTTCTAAAGTATCAAAC